TTTACACAATTGATGTATGTATGGATTGTGATACGAGTTGTATGAGCCCCTAATAAAATGATTAAAAGGAAAAAAAAAAAACCAGGGCTTTCTGTCTTTATGCTTTGCCATAATGAGCAAGGGCTAGTGCCCAGCAGGCTCATGATAGCCAGTCACCATCTAGACGTGAAAACGGGGTTCTAGAAAGAAGGGGGAGGTGGCATTGGATTTTGTTGTGTCACATCTCTCTTGAAACATATGCCCACCTTGTAGAGCTGGGGTTTTGAATATATATGTAAACACACACACACACACACATTTATGCTTGAATTTCCATTTCAAAGTAGAAACTTCCCTATCTTGACCTCATACTAGGCTCTACCCAGGAAATCCACAAGTCCTACTGATTTGGGTAGAAACTAATAAGACTTAGAAAGCCATCTAAGGCTTCAAAAAGTTCATGGAAAAAATGGACTTTGTGTAGCCGCCTTGTATATGCTTAGAGTCTTGATGCCCCCAGGTGGGAGGATGCACAGGGCACGGGGTGGGGAGGAGTTCTACCAATGGCCAGGGGAATGGCAGGACTAGTCCAGGGGGTTCCAGGGAAGGTCCTTACTCCCCCCCTCATTCTGAAACTGGAAGTGCTGGCTGTGTGTGGTAGACGCAATAACCTCTGACTGACTTCCTTTCCCTGTGACCCAGATGCAGGCAGCAGTGCTGTGCCCCGGCCACAGATGCCATTGACTGACTTCCTTTCCTTGTGACCCAGATCCAGGCAGCTGTGCTGTGCCCCGGCCACAGATGCCATTGTTCATGGTTTGCGCCAGGACTTGGACGGGGGGAAGAAGAGAGGCCACGAACCAGGTGGACTTAGAGGGCTTCAACGCAGAGCTCAATCTCAGGTCAGCTTCTCACTCCAGCCCATCTATCTCACCCACACCCACATCCACCTATGGTCCCATTAGCATTTTCTAATTCTTCTCGAGAGGGTCAGTCACAAACTTACTGGTCAAACTTGTCTTCTAAAATTCAATCTTGGCCGACTTTAAAACCAGCTGATTTCTATTGAGTCAGTCCCGATGCATTGCAACCGCATGTGCATCGGAGTGGGACTCCACTTGATAGATCTGTTGGTGCTGTGACCTTTCAGAAGTACACAACCAGGCCTTTCTTCTGAGGTGCCTTTGGGTGGATTCGAACTGCCAACCTTTCCATTGTTACATGAGCACTTAGCTATTTGCATCACACCAAAATAACATGAAAGGTTTCAAAAAATGTGTGAAAATGATAATATAATGGAATTTTCCCCCAGATATTTTTGTAGCCCCCCTTGTAGACTTGGAATCATGCTGGAGAGTCTTTAGGTCCTAGGATAGCTCTTTAAACAGTACCTAGGATTAGA